TCCGTATAAAGTCTTCTTGATGTCCTCTTGGAATCAATTTTTCTTTAATTTGATATTTCTTAGCTGATCTGTAGCATCAAAGAAGTTATCAGGATTACCAGCTTAGCTTTTTTAGCCAGAAGATTGCTAACTTGGCTCTTTTGGTAAAACTTGCAGGAAATGGTTTCAGGATCTTCAAGTTTTCTGGAGAAAGCAAGAAGAATGAAAACACACCAAGTCCTGAAAACATACCAGCAGGCAGGACAAATTGGTTCTTCTCTATTTTTGCAATAGGCAAGAGCAAAACAGCTCTTGAGCAAGGTAGTATTTTCTTTGCATTTTGCAACGCTTTGGAGATTAAGCCGTTTATGCCATTACCTTTGCTTGAGGTGTGCCTTTAACTTGCAGGTATTGGGAAGTATAAATATTTTTGCTAGGAATTTGACTAAAATTCCATTGACATTTCTTGTGGTATATTGCTTTTGAGAGGGATCAAATGTATTTTATACTGGGATTAATTGTGTGAATCAATCTTGGGCTCTGTCTGCATAATGTTTCTAACATTAAATAAAAGAGACTATTTTTGAAAGAGAATGCCTACTGCTGCAGTCATACTGGACTGTGCAATTTATTGTTTCTGTCATCATCAGTTCCCTTTATTAGACCACAGGGAACTGAATGTGAATAAACTGAACGGACAAAATGATTGACTTGGAAGAATGAAGCACTTGTTCATTTTAACTCGTAATCCAGTAGTGTTTAGTTCCTCTTGCTTATTTGACTTGATTATAATGCCAAATGGTAGATGGTCAAGAGCATTTTGGTTTATGGTTGATTTTTCTGTTTTGTTGTATATGCCCAAGTTTCCAATTTTATCGCATTAGGGGGGAGCGTTTGGCCTGATAAAAAGTTCTGGAATTGCAGCACGGAGCCTTCCAGAAGTTGGTGCAATTGATCAGCATGTCCCATCACAAAGTGCTGACAATATGTCACACTCCCACAAAAATGATCCATTGGGTGATCCTATTGACAGCAGAACTGCTACTCACCCTGGCAAACCAGCAGATCCTCCATTGGCACCAATTGCAATGGAGCCAAAAGTTGATGTGGAAACAGTGAATGAGACAGTTTCTGATCATAATGATTCAACTCAGACAGAATCATTTGTCTATGGAGGACAAGTACGTGATGGAGTTACCGGACCTCAAAAATCTGTAAAGGATATCTCTAATTCTTCAACAGAAGTGTCCATACTCATGGATATGGGTGGAAAATCAGATGATGCAATGGTAGAAAAGAATCCAGGTATGGAAACCTTTTCCAAGTCATTTTTAAAGAAGGATAACAAGGCACTGTGCCACTGTATACCATCAATGATTTGGAAAACTTGGTAGCTAGTTTTGTAATGCACACAATCACACACGCATGTACATACGGTCATGCAATATATTCTCTGGAAAAATCATCTGCTAAAGGACATTTTTCCTATCATACCATACTATTGTCTTTTTTTCCTTTTCTTGGTGGTAGGAATTTTTAATAATTCAATGAGATAAATGTGAATCACAATGACTGCATCTTTATATGAATTTTAGTGCTCTTTGTGAGCCCAGGTAAAGTGTTTTGTCCATCTTATATACTTTTTATTTATGTTTGTTACATGTGATGCTGCTTTAAAACAAATTGTAGTGGATAAATCTGAACTATTTTAGCATGATAGTAATGAATGATTTACATGTTCAAACAACTCATACCTCTTCAACAAAAAGTGCTTTAGTGCCCACTCATTCATTTTCCCAAGGTGGACACTTAGATGATTTTGCTACAGAATCCCATGATTCTGGAACAAGGGTTTCAATTTCTCCAATGAGAGGTTCCCCACTGCTTGAAGAAGTGAAAACTGAATCTGTGGAGACTGGTGCCACTCTGACAAAGACCAGCAGGGGTATTAGCCAGTTTTGCAGGACTATTAATTTACTGCATTTCCTTCAGTTGTCATTCCTTTCTTTTTCTTTTTCTTTTTTTTTTTTCTCCTCCCAAATTGAACTTTGGATGTTATTTCAGTCTTAGTGAATGATGCATTGCATCTTCACTTATTATGCAAATGGGATAGATATCACACACGCTCACAGAAAAAATCACCTAGACGTTATCTTGGATTTGTCAAAGTTCTAACCACTTGATTATGCATGCTCTTCTCTGCCAACACATGTAGGGGATATTTTTAAGTTAAAAAAATTAATCATCACAAACTTGTATCTTTTAGATGCTTCACTTAAGCCTTTCTTGAGAGATTAAGTTGGAGATAGTTATTGACTGTGTTCCTGCTATAATGTTGTTAATTATTGAAACTCTGCATCTTTAATTAGATGTCAGCTTTTTCTCTTTTTCATAGTTTACATTTATAACTAGATTTATTAACTATTGCAGTCTTCTGATTATTTTGTTTCTTAAAGTTCTTATATTTTAGTTCCTTTCCATTGCATTGTATTACAGGGGATGACCTGATAGTAGTTGTGGAAGAAGGATCAGTAGGAACAACAGTTTCTCAGAGGATTGAAAGCACTGCTGTTTCAACAGAAAATGGTGTCAGTGAATCTCGTGGATTGGATATCTTAAAAAGTATTGTTTATGGTGGTTTAATTGAATCAATCACAAGTTTAGGTGTTGTGTCATCGGCAGCAGGCGCTGGTGCTTCCACGTGTAAGTCGATTTTTAGTTTTGTACTTTTCATGATTATTCTTCTAAGTTTACATAGTTAATTTGTTAGACAAATACAACATCCTTAGGTGTGTATTTTGTACCCCTAAACTCCTGGAGTAATGTTGTAACTCAGTTTAACTACAACTAACAAGATGCAATTCAGTCAAGGCTTATCAATATATTGTAAGCTTCATCTGCAGAAGTGCTCCTTTTTTTTTTCTCTCTTTTTTTTTTTTTTTTTTGAGATCCTGGTTATTTATATGGAACTACACTAAATGAAAGAAAATTAAATATTATATTTCACTTTGATTAGAAATCATGAATATTATAAATAAAATATAAAGTGAAAAACTTACTCTCATCTTCATCTATCAACTTAAATGCTTATATTCAAATCTACAATTTGAAACATTATAGTAGGGAGCTACAACCAAGCTGAAAGGTCAGTTGCATTGAATGTAGGTAGTTCAGTTTCTAAGAAGAATAGGTTGAACTTATAGGAACAAGTCTTGCTTTAATTTTCTGTTGCTTCAAACATTTTTAATTCAACAACAACACCATCTTCTGTATTTTATTTTCCTTGAAATTTTGAATGTTCTCTGTAACACAAATTTTCTCCCTGTCCTTGCAGTGAATGTTTTAGCTCTGGGGTTGGCCAATTTACTGGGTGGACTGTTCGTCATTATTCATAATGTACGTGCTTTTCTATAATGATGATACTCTTTCTTAAGAAAAATGCCTGATACAAAAAAAAAAAAAAAAAAAAAAAAGGGGGGGGTGTGGGGGGAAGGGAGAGGTTTTCATGGTCAAATTCTAGAACCTTTATTTTTCTAATTGATGTTCCTCTAATTGATTAGTTTCAAAGTTAGTGCAATAGACTATTATTGTAGTAACATCCAGTGCATCTTTAAGTTTTGCTGACACGACCAACTTCATCAAATATGTTGTTGATGTGTAACATGTGGCACTCACACTGTAACCCAGTTTAAGATTTTAATGTAATTTAAATATTTTTACAGTAAAAATTGCATAAATTGCAGTAATGCAATGTAAGGACTCCTGCTGGACTTCATCATTTTGGTACTGGTACAATAGAAATATCAAAGAATTTGATTGAGATGTGTTATCACTTCTTGTTTGACATGCTTAACATATATTTGCATTCACCACCATGCAGGTAGAGACCACTTCCTCCTTTGACCCTCGCACCTCCCTCCCCCTGCCCAAAACACACAAATAAAGCCTGACACAAATCCAGTTTCCATATCTTTAGTGATTTTGATATATGTATCTTAAACCGTAACACAATATTGTACAATCATATCATTTCATCCATTATTTACTTATCTCACTTCTTCCAATTTGGCCGTGTGATGAAATTTTGCAGCTTAGAGAACTAAAAAATGAGCAATCTGGTGGGGTTTCCAGTGAAACCAATACGCAAGAAGACCGCTACCAAGAAATATTAGGCCGGAGAGATAACTTTGCACTGCATGCAACTGTCTCTATTTTATCATACCTCATCTTTGGGTTGGTTCCTCCAGTTGTCTATAGCTTCTCATTTCGCCAGAGCGACAATAGAGACCTCAAGCTTGCATCCTTGGCTGCTGCTTCTCTTGTATGCATTATTTTGCTTGCCATTGGGAAAGCTCACGTTGGAAAGCCACGAAGAACTTATTTCAAAACAGTATTGCACTATGTGATTATAGGCTTTATGGCTTCTGGAGTCTCGTATTTAGTTGGCGAATTGCTGAAGAAACTCTTGGAAGAACTGGGTTGGTTTGATTCAAGTTCAGCTGTCACAACACTTTTCCCAGAAGCGAAACCATTAGAGAGAGCATGGGCATCCTACTGAAGCTGTGGGATCATTTTTCAAGTCAATTTGGAGGAAAATTTTGGACTTTCTATTTCCTCCTAGTTTCATTTGAATGTGTACCTTTTAACTCTGGTGCTGGGAAACATCGAGGAGGAGAAAGCTGAGCAATTGAATTTCTCAGAGATAAGAATAAGATGCAATAAATAGCATAAAACGATAAACAAACATTTCTTTGAAATTGAAGAATTTTCATATTCAACTTTTTAAATCTCTCCTGATTGCTGCTGCGTCTAAATTGAATTAAGAATGGACAAAAGAAAAGGAGTCTGGGAAGTTTATATTCTTGTTTTGTGAGAGTAAAAGAAGATACTGCAGAGATCAATCGTGATATCTATCCGGGTGTCTGTCAAAGGCTTCTAAAATGCTACTTTTCAAGCCCAGAGTTATTGTGCATATCTTAATGCATTAGTCAAGTCGATTTTGATTTTGAACTTGATCGAATGTCGAATTACTATAGTACTTCCATAAATTTAGATATCAAGTCAATTTTAAAATGGAATTGTATAAAGAGAAATGTTAACTGCACTCAGGCGACATTTAATACTTGGATCTTGATTGGCCAGGTATACATTTATAAGTACAAAAATAAAAAGAGAAAATAAAGGACCTATAAGAAGAGGAGTGCTTGTGAAGTCGATCCACGCTGGGTGTACAGAGCACTGTTGTATGTACCATTATTTGGTGTGTCCTTAGGAAACGTTTCAACAGCTCAAGTTTAAATCTTAAAATTGGTGACGAGAAATTTTAAGAAAATATCATTCTATATTATATAATTTATCATTTAACATTAAAAACAAAAAATCATTGCTCGGCGTGCAACTTAAAATGTTAGAACTTAGAACCCAGATAAATGTAAAAAGTTCCACCTCTTACAAAACGACCCAGAACACTCCAAAAGAGATGTTTATGGAACAAAATCTCGATTGAGTACCTTAAACCGAATAGTTTACAATTGCTCTAAACACCAGGAGCAGCAAACAAAAGGACAGGTTCTAAGCAATAAAGGCTAATAAACTCCAAAATAACTGAGAGACCAATCAGTAAGACAAAACCAGCATCTCTATCACATATTGAGTGCGAAGTCAGTAGAGTAGGCCTTGTGCCTTCAATCGGGAAGTATTTGCTCGCCATCTGCATCAGCCTCCGTCTCAACCTTTGGTTTCGATGGACCTTGGCCTGCTCCAGGGGCCTGCTTCTTCTTAATGCCACTAACAATGTCATCAATCCTCAAAAGCATGCAAGCAGCTTCTATGGCTGTTTTAAATGTCTGTGCCTTCACATTGTATGCATCCCAAATCTGCAATAAATAAACACATCAATAACCCCATCAATTATAATGGTAGATTAAGGCTACTGATATATATGCTACAGATCCCACCCAATTGTCATACAGAAATTATTATGTATTAGAAACTTATATGGACAAATCAACTGACATTTAAGACATACACACACAAACACACACACATAAAGCAGATTACGTGAACAGGATAAATGAAAGGATGCATGGTAAATCCAAATTAATTGGCAAGAGATCATCATATTTATGGCCAATTTGAGTATCGATGAACAGCAGATGATCCATTCACATTTAGGCTGGCCGGCTTGCACAGGGTGCAGAAACAATTTTACTAACATTTCATTGTGATCCATGCTTCATCACCCACAGGTTGCAAGAAACATACTTCTCCAGCACAAACAATATTGGAAGTTTATAATGAAATTAAATTGTGTTTAATTGTTCTGTCTCACATAAACAATGTGATTCATCAGGCTAAAATATGTTTTCCCTAGATAGCACAACAGAGAAAAGGTTTGCTTAGTTGTTTTCAAATGTTCAATTTTGAAAAAACAAAAGAACAGATTCTGTAATAAAAAATTAGAACCATACCTTCCTCTCTTTCATGTCAGCAATAGCACCAGTATTCCCATCAATGCCCACCCAAGCATTTTCACCACTAGCATGCTAAAGTCAGAGTTTGTTGGGGAGATAAAGGGGAAGCGATTGGTCAGCACTTTGAACATATAATGACCTTCAAAGAATATGAAACTATACTAGTGAAAGCTTAATACCTTTCCTTGCAGTGCAGTCATTGTCCTAATCACATTAACCCCACAATTCTGTGCCAAAGTACGAGGAATGGCCTCAAAAGCAATGGCAGCAGCTTCATAGGGCCACTGTTATAAAAACCATCAAATCATAAGCACAACAATACAAATGAAACCTCAGAAAATAATCAAAACCAAATGACAAAAAGCATTTGGAGTTAATCATGTTACCAATGCTTGAATTTTAGGGCAATATTACTCGAGTAATCAATTTAATAAAAAGCATCATTCACCTTTTCTATGCCTTCAACAGATGAACTCTTCTGTTTCAAAGTAGCAGAAACAGTTAATTCTGTGGCACCACCACCAGGTACAAGTTTTGGGTTCTTGATTATGTTTCTTGCAACAGACATGGCATCCTGTAAATTTAAGAAGGTTTAAGATATGATGCAGTCAAGAAACAATAATTTGCAGAGTCACTAAGATACCTGCAAATTTCTTTCCACTTCATTTAGAAGATCCTTGCTTGCTCCTCTTAACAGTACAGTACAAGCTTTTGGATCTTTGCAATCAACAATGAATGCAAAGAACTCATCTCCTATCTTTTTAACCTCAAACAGCCCAGCTCCAGTGCCTACATCAGATTCTTGCAGTTCATCAGGCCGGTTCACAATAACAGCACCACAAGCCTTGGCAATTCTGTTGTTGTCTGTCTTCCTCAACCTCCTAATGGCACTGACACCAGCCTTACTGAAATAATGGCATGCCAAGTCACTAAGCCCCTTCTCTGTGATCACCAAATCTGGTTTGAACTTCAATATCTGCGCACAAAGGCTCTCAATGTATTCTTCCTCCATTTTTAAGAGGACTGCCCAGTCTTCTTCTTTAACCAATTCAGCATTTGTTTGGTTCTCGCCCTTCTTGTACTCTAGGGGACAATCAAGAAGAATGATACGTGGATTGACAATCTTTCTTCTCATTTTGCCTGGGGCTACTACATCCTTGCTGATCATCACTCCTTTAAGGACCTTCGAGTCTTCCAACTGACCACCAGGAACTTTCTCAACCTTAATGTACTTCTTAATATCAACTTCTCGTAAACCTTGGCCAAGATCGACCCCAACTGTTGCAGTTGCATCAATAGCCAAATCCTGAAAGTCAACAAAATAAATAGCCATGCAAAAAAGAAAAGACTAAGGCACTTAATTTTGAGACAGAACTTTTTTATATGGTTATTCTGAACAGAAAAAATGAGAATTCTGTGTAGATAAATCTGGCGGCTGGTAAGCAAATTTAGGAGCAGCAATGAAATAGCCAAAACTTAAAGTAATGAAGGCTCCACAAGAAACCAAGTAAGTTGTGGATTGTGACTCTGATGTAATAAACTAATAATTGGTAAAAACACCTCCAATTTAAGAAGGAAATGCCAAATTCAAATCCCCTTTTCCAAGCTATCAAAAGAAAACAAATAGAGATTGGTAGAAGTATTGTTTTCTTATGCCCATATCAACATAAGTACATGAAAAATAAGAAAGACAGCATCTAAGGACTTCCCAAAACAAAATATACCGAATAAAATATAACAAATATCATGACAAAAATAGTTCCAATTTCAGAAAGTTTCTGTTTTCCTTCTTTTTCCTATCATACCAAATCCAAAGAGTTCTTCAAGGTGAGGTCATTTGTGGGTGTAGTCTCAAGGCTCGACTCAACCAGGAAACTACAAATGCAGGTTAATCAATGAAGAACAATACTCACAGCGATTAAATCCCCAAACTGACTGGTGAACTTTGTTCCTATACAACTTTTGACCAGTCCCAACATTGTAGAACCTGCCA